AACCACTGGATTCAGCATGCGTGTTAGATAGGGGAGTAGGTGTATGGGAATTGAACTTTTCAAGGGAAAAAAAGATGTACAATATTTGCAGAGGAAAGAAGTCAACATTTATATAATAAACAGAATTAGAAACCAATAAAAATAACTACCATCTCTGTCTCTAGTTCATTTTATTTCATCATAAAATTTATTTCTGAGGAAAATTTATGTACTTGATAATTCACTAATGTATTTTTAATCATCTTCCCTGAAACAAAGAACAAATTTGTCTTACCATTGTATTGTTAGAACAAACAGCTTTTTGCACATAGTTAAAGCTCAATAAATATTTACGTTCTCTTTCAAGAGCCACTTGGTCTAAGCAAAGAATTTCCATGTTAATTGTTCCAGAGCCTTGTTAATGTTTAAGCAGTATCTGATGGATATTTTGATGGTGTTGAATATTTTGTTTTACACATTGATCTTCATGAATAAATATGAATCCAGGCATTAGAAAAAATAGGCTGGAAAGATATGTACAGGTGTTAAGGCTGGAGAGATGGCTCAGTAATCAACAGAAATTACTCTTCTTACACACGTGTCCAGCATGATTCCTATCACCCACGTGGCCCCTTACACCTGTGTGTAATTCCAATTCTAGGCAATTTGGGCCTCCTTGGGCACTGCATGCACATGGTACACATACATATCTGAAAGCNTATATATATGATGAGCAAGAGTGTAGGTGTAAATGTTATTTATATACAAAAGAGCTATGGACATTGTATGTCAATTTTAATTTTCATGTTTAAAGGAAAAATAACTATATTCATCATTAAAGGTTGTTAATTGTTGCAGGAGCTCCTTCTGCTCCTTCAGCCAAGAGCAGCTGTGATACCAGCCCATTGGGGCGTGGTCTCTCTTTAAAAAAAAAAAACAGCAACTGCCCTCCGCTCTCGCTTCCGGCTCCACTTCCGGCTCCTAGGCTCCTTTCCTGATCTCGCAGAGGGCTGTTGTCTTGGACAGTGATCTGTAAGGTTTTCCCCTTAAATAAATAACCATTCTATTAATCGTAATTCCAAACTGGTGTGGGATCATTTGTGACTTATGCCTTCAGTTAAGCAGTGATTTCTTTCTTGTAATTTTGAAGTATCAATAATCAGAGTTTAGTTTTGTAAAGAACCTTGAAAACCTTCCATCATGAGCCCTCATTTCCTAAACATATAAAACAGTGAGGGATGAGATTTACCAACTCCCCCACATTGCCTAGATTGGGTGTTTAAGAAGAGAATAGGACTCAGGTCTCATGATCTTTTACCCAGTCTTCATTCGTGGTGTTTCTTCCCTTTTGAAGATTTTTCTTGCTTCAATCCAGCTCATTTTTCTCTTCTGACAGTCATATTCATAATTCTTTTTATGGCACATCATCACTGATGCATTGACAACGCTGCGTCTGAATTTGGTTTACAGTTAGTAGCAAACATTTAAGGCAAATGCACTTGCTAATGTTTTGTCAGTTTTCCAATAAAAGAAAAGGCAGCATCTGAGGTATGTACCTGTTCTATTAAAAACAAGGCAGAAGGTCTAGCAACTTTTAAACCAAATTTGGTGACTTATATTAAGAAGCCTTGTCGGAACAATGAAAATTTAAACTCTTATTAGTGGTATCTGCTATATTGACGTCTACTGCCGCAAACTAGTAATTCTTTTTATTTGTATAACAGTCTGTAAAAATCCCATCATAGGCTGCTGTTCTGCTGCCCCATCACAGAAACTAAGTGTTGAATTTGCTAGGCGAGCCTTACAGCACAAAAATTTTACAAGAAAGAAAGAAGGAAGGAAGGAAGGAAAAACTGTATTCTAGCAGTTTACAATTTGTTTCCAGAATTTGTTCTGCTGGCCTAATTCTTTTTAAAGGACATTGTACTCTAATATCTTTCTACTTCACCCACTTACCAATATCTCTTACTCTGTGTATAAATGTAAGAAAAATGTAATCAAAGTTGAGATTGTGTAAATATGTTCTATTGGTTTGTTTGTAATTTTGTTTCTGGAAAACATATGATAAAAAGGAGCACAAAACCCTGTATGAATTTTTATTCAAACGTTTACATGATTTTTCTCTAAATAATCTATATAAATTCAAATAAACAAAATCCCAATTGTACATACAGTACTTCTGTCTCAATAGTCACTTTCTAAATTTCTTTCACTTGTCTTTACTTAAGAGGCTCTTATTTTCTTCCCTTGTAATTTTTATGTTGAGTTTTTTTTTTAAATGCAGGTACCAAAGGAGATAATCTTCTTTAAAAGTATGTTATTTAATAGAGCACTTTCCATAACAGTACTGGACCTCCTTCTCAAATGAATTTTATGAGAGACAAATATCATTATGTTCAGCCAGATCAAACTGGTCTTACTGAAAATTCATCTTGCCTTTCAGTATTCAGTATTCATGAAATGTGATACAAAGTTAGATAGCTTCCTTCCTTCCCCAGAACTTTAAATATTTCTACAAATATACTAACTTCAGGCAAAAACCTCATCTACCACATGCAGTTGCTCTCTCAATCTTAAAATGTACAAGTACAATCACAGAATATAATCAACTATTGTATGAAAGGTGGGTGGAATCAAATCCCTGACAGATATGTCTATACAATACTTTCTGTTCGTCTGGTTTGAAATTCTTAAAACACAACATTTTTATTCTTAAAGAAATTTCCCAGCATGGAGGCACACACCTTTAGTCTCAGGACTTGGGAGGCAGAGACAGGTAAATCTCTGTGAGTTCAAGGCCAGCCTGAACTATGAAGAGAGTTCAGAGACAGCCAAGGCTCTGCTCCTATTTGTCTTGCATCTACACTCAGTATCAGGAGAGCAGTGGGTGAGTACTTCCGTGACTCTTCCTATTAAAGCAGGAATGAGAGTCATATGTATCACCAACCCTGAAAGAGCCAAGTGAAGCCAAGTGGATTATTTGTATAGGACAGAAAAGTGTGATTTTTGGTGAACTTTCTAGTATATGACATAAGAAATAGTAGGGTATGTGGAGATGTTGTTTATAAATGTTAAAAATTATAGAAGAGTTCTAACTGAAGGGTTCTCTTAGAGGAATTTAGTGTAGTTGTGGTGCCTTCACCACCAAACTAGTATGCTGACTGCTTCTGGGAACTAAAGTCGAACAAATTCCTTTACCACTGATAATGAAGACTCAGTTTTCAGACAGCACCATGGGAGTTGTGCCAAGAATGCTACCAGATTCAAAATTACGGAGAGATGGCGCTGGAAAGATGGCTCAGACGTTAAGAGCATTGCCTGCTCTTCCGAAGGTCCTGAGTTCAATTCCAAGCAAACACATGGTGGCTCACAACTATCTGTAATGGGGTCTGTTTCCCTCTTCTGGCATGCAGGCACACACACAGACAGAATATTGTATACATAATAAATAAATAAATATTTTTTAAAAATACGGAGAGATAAAATTCTCATGAACTTGGAAGTTTGGCTTGCTTGCTACTATCTTAAACAATGCTAGCTCTTGATGCTCCTTGGGCACTTTTTTCCACAAAAGGGTCCTCACAATTTTCATATTTTAATTTTGGCTTCCTAGAAAAAATAGGACTCATTGAACATGGTTTAGAAACTAGTATTATTCTCCTTTATAAATACTCATCAAAAACCACTTATGAGTGAGTACATGTGGTGATTGTCTTTCTGTGTTTGTGTTACCTCACTCAAAATGATGTTTACTAGCTCCAGACATTTGCCTGCAAAACTCAAGATGTCATTATTTTTTTCTGCTGTGTAGTACTCCATTGTGTAATTGTACCACATTTTCCATATCCATTCTTTGGTCGAGGGGCATTTAGGTTGTTTCTGGGTTCTGGCTATCACAAACAATGCTGCTACGAATATAGTTGAGCACGTGCCCTTGTGGCATGATTGAGCATCCTTTGGATATGTAACCAAAAGTGATATTACTAGGTATTAAGGAAGGCTGTTTCCTAATTTTCTGAGAAATCGCCACACTGACATCCAAAGGGGCTGTACCAGCTCGTATTCCCACCAGCAATGCAGGAGTGTTCTCTTTACCCCACAACCTCTCCAACATAAGTTCTCATCAGTGTTTTTGATCTTGACCATTCTTACAGGTATAAGATGGAGTCTCAGAGTTGTTTTGATTTGCATTTCTCTGATGACTAAGGATATTCAACATTTCCTTAAGTGTCTTTCAACCATTTTAGATTCCTCTGTTGAGAGTTCTCTGTTTAGGTCTGTACTCCATTTATTTTTTTGGATTACTTGTTCTTTTGATGATCAATTTCTTGAATTCTTTGTATGTTTTGGAGACCACCCCACAAATCCCAATTTTTGAGAACCTAGACAACAATGAGGAGCCTAAGAGAGACATACATAGATCTAATCTACATGGGAAGTAGAAAAAGACAATTTCTCCTGAATAAATTGGGAGCATGGGGACCTTGGGAGAAGATTGAAGGGTAGGGGAGAGGCAGAGAAGGGAACAGAGAAAAATGTAGAGATCAATAAAAATAAATAAATAGACAAACAAATTCCTCCTAAAAAAAAGTCCATGGTTCCTATCCCCATGTCAAATCAAAGGAAGACCTCAGAACTCCTCTAATTCTTGAGACTTTTACCTCTCATATCCTTTAAGTTATTAACATGGTTCCATTCATACAATTAAAATGACAGTTATGGACCATAGTCCAAATTTCAAATTATATTTAAAGTATGATTTTCCTCTTACATTGGATATTACTTATTTGTAAAAACTTATTTTATAAGTACTGTCATGAGGACTAGGTGGATATTTACAGCTATCTCTCTCATAAGAGTACTGTAAAGTGCTCTGAATTTGCCCATTGCTCATTGCATCCTTTGTCTCCTGTATAGTATCTCCAAGGCAGCCTAAGTCTGGTTTTCCTATTCCTTTATGACATTTTTTTTTGGTTATATGGCCATTTTAAGGAACTCAAAAAATAAACAGAAAGCTTGAGTTGAATTTGAGAGAACAATTTGTTATAATGAACCAGAAATACAAGATTCCACTGAAACTGAACAGCTGACAAAACATAGTTGAAATTAAACCTTCATGAGGGTCAAATAAAGGCAGTTATGTAGATTAGACCAAGACTGGTTCTGGACATAGGTAACTGCATTTCAGCATTCCCAGCAGTTAGTTTGTAAACAGTCTCCCACCCTTGTATCGTCTGCCACATCAAATGGCTTCTATACTAAATGTGTACAGGCCTCTTGGACATGACACAAAGCCAAAAAAACTTAAAAATCTTATTTTAGGGTGGAAACTGTACATATCCACCTCAGCAAGTCAGCTGCCACTTATGCAACGTCAATGAGCAAACCAAGTGCTACCTCGTGTAAGCCTTTCCTGGTCCAGCAGCAGGAGCAACATCTCCAAATGACCACCTTCACCATCAGCCTAGCAGACACACACCTTATAGAGTTTTAGCTACGACCAGAAAGCTTTTAAGGAAGATGTAGAATTCTATCCCAGAGCCCACTGGCTCCTTCTGGGAACTTTTTCTGGGATCATAAAGATGAACAGAAGAAATATTAAAATGACAGCGTACATGGCAGGTGAAGCAGACTGGAAAAAGGTTCTACTCACAAAGCCAACGCATTCCTGTTGAAATAGAAGTCTGGGTGACTGGATAAACAACAAAACAAACTCAACCAAATCAAAGGAAAATAGGGTTTCATGTAACACAGTATCAAAAAGTAGATGGAACAGACTAAATGCCCCATCTGGTAGCAGGCAAGTCCACAACCTATTGTGATAGGTCCGGTCCTTCCAGCATCAATCAGATTTCTTCTCATGTTTTCTCAAGTTTTTTTTTTTTTTTTTAATATAGGTGTGGTGACTTTAACAAGAGTCTAACAGTGGGTAGGCAGGCAGGCTTCAATCATTCGTTTCAGGATCTGTCTGTGCCATGTAGGCATCCAACTCGGCATCCAGGTGTCCTTTAGTTTTCGACATGTATGCATCCAGTTGGTTGTCCAGCTGCTCCTTGGTCAACACAGGGCGAGTGAGGGCACCTCTCCCTCGGCCACGGCCACGGCCTCGGCCTCCAAAGCCCCCTCTTCCCCGACCTATCATACCCCGACCTCTACCACCGATTCCGCCACGACCCATAGCTCCACGCCCTAGGCCCCCTCTCCCAGGACCTCCACGACCTCGAACACCACCTCTTCTTAAGCCCATTCGGGGAGCTACGGCTCGTCCACCTCGGAGCAGGTTTTGACCTCGGAGAGACATCCCGCCCCTAATCAGAGTTCTGGTGGCACGTCCCCCACGTAGTCCTCCTCCTCGGGGCAAGCCTCTTTGGATTATGGGTAGGCCTCTTCCTCCAATTGCTCCCCTGGCCAGGGCACCTATGGGTCAGCCTAAAGGTGCTGCCTGGATGTTACTCTTACCCAGGCGCTGCTTTAAGCTCTTCTGCTTAAGTTTTAATGCTGCCTGGACAGAGGGTCTATTCTCCATCTGCTGGGCCAGTCTTCTGTTTCTGGCACTGGCTAGCTGCTGCTGCTGCTGCATCGAAGCCCGAATATTCACTGGCATCGGCTGTTTGTTCTTCAGCATATTAGTAAAGCGCTCGTTTAGAGACATCTTGGTGGTGCTTTTTAGCACGACTTTCGGCGCCGACTGAGCAGCCATCTTCAAATCCCGAGAATCGAAGGAGACGGACGCCAGCGCTCCTCCCGGGGCTGCCACCACGGCTGCGGCGCGCGGGCCGGGGGCCGGCCGAAGCTGAGCTGATGGGGCCCGCTCGGGTCAACTAGCTGGGCGGTTGGGTTAGAGGCTTAAACGGTTTGACGCGAGACTCACTCCTTGCGGGCGGGTACCTAGTCGGCCGCTCCTCCCGCTCGTCAGGCCTGCCCTTTCCTTCCCTTCGTTTGTGCCACCACGGCCGGCGCCGCCAACTCCCGCTTGGTTCCTTTATGACATTTGGTCAATCAACAAGAATCACACAATATTGACCTATTGATTTGAAAGTGAGAATGCACTTATTTTTCTAACACATCTATTATTCTTAATGTTGCTATTGGATATCTCAAATGGCTTGTTTCCTGTAAATATTTTGAGCTAAGAGGATGGCTTGAAGGTATTCAGATATGCATCCAATATGAATCTAGGAGGTTCCCAAACCTCAAGTAGTAGGAACCAAAAGCATCACAATTTTCCTAAAATAATAATAATTTAATCTACCTCTTTCTAATATCCAAAAACTTCTACTAAGAAAATGAATCTTCAAATCAGTCTTTGAGATTCAAGTAGATATTGAGTAAGAATTGCAGAATCAAGTGGAGCCTTTTAATTTGCATATTTAACTGTTCAGATCAATTCCTAACTTTAAATATGTTTCTCCAAATTATGGCTTCCAATGGCTAGATGTTACTAAGGTATTTAACCTCAATGTTCTCATTCTGTGTTTGTGATGATTATAAATCCTGACCTTTCTATTCTGTCCAGAATTCTCATCATTACCATAGTTTGTCCTACTCTTGCAACTTTGTTAATTCCTTTGAAAAAGATATAAATGCTTGCTTTGTGTCTTTTATGGACTAGAGTATATTTCTAAACTTCGAATGTTCTAGTCTGCACTTCTTCAAAATATGACTATATTTTCAAGTATGAGTTCTAAATAGGAAAAACAAAATTAACATCTTTCAAAAGTGGATGGATCTACAAGCAATGTTAAGCAAAATTTGATAGAATTAGAAATCCAAATATCTAAATCATTTCAAGGGAGAGGCTAATGAAATTTATTTCACATGAATGAAAAGGACTATTTAGAGAAAAGAGGGGTACAACAAGCTAAGGCAAGGAGTGTTGAAATAGGAGCAGCAGGGCTGCGTCCCCGGCACCCGGCCGCCCGCATGGCTAGCTTATGCCCAGAAATAATTACATGGAAACTGTATTCTTTCAAACACTGCCTGGCCCGGCTAGGTCCAGTTTCTTATTGGCTAGCTCTTACATATTGTTCTAACCCATTTCTAATATTCTGTGTAGCCCATGAGCTGGCTTACCAGAGAGGATCTTAACCTGCATCTGTCTGGAGTGGGAGCATCATGGCGACTCCTCCTCTAACCTTCTTTCTCCCAGAATTCTCTTCTGTATACTCCGCCTACCTAATTTTCTATCCAATAAAATGGGCCAAGGCAGTTTCTTTATTAGTAAGAAATCATTCCCACATCATTTCCCCTTTTTCCGTTTAAACAAAAAAGAAAGGCTTTAACTTTAGCATAGTAAAATTACATATAACAAAACAGTTATCAAGTAAGAATTACAGTTACAATATTTATATCTATTTTATCTCTTATCATAACTAAGGAAAACTATAACTATTTATTCTTCAACTCCATCAAAGACTCCAGAAGGATATAATATTATCTAAGTAAACAAGAAATAAGAAAACTCTAGAAATGACAGAGACATCTCGCTGCCTGGACAGTCACCCAAAGTTCCTCTGTACCGTTGGGGCATCCATCTTCGGCCTACAGGCCCATGGTATCCAGATACATTTCCATGAAGCAGGAAATTTTAAAGACAGTTCAGTCACTTTCTGCTGTGTTCTGTAGAATGTCTTGTAGACTCTTTCATGAATCAGGAACCCCGAAAGACCATCTCACCTTTAGGCAAGTTCAGCAGTCCTCTCTCTGAGGGTTCTCTGTGTCCAGTTTATGCAACAGTCCAGGCAAGAGCAGTTTCTTGCCCAAATGACTATCCAACTCCATAAGGATCCTCTTCGATGCCCATCTTCCTCTTGAAGTAGCTGGTGCTGCCAGGAGCAGACGTGTCTCCTTGTCATGAAAAGTCCTAAGTTATTAAAATATTTTAAATGCCATATTCTGCAGTCTTTGAAAGATATGAAGAATGCCTATCTAATTGAAATATATCTCTATATATCTAGAAAATCTAACTAACATGACTACAAGCTTAACTATTAGCAATGATTATCCATTAACAACCTATATTTCCTAATTATACATTACATTTTAAGTGAACTACATAATCACAATACCTTAATCAAGTTCAAAAATACATATACATATAACAAAATTGACCTTAAAATCCATACCAATGCAAATTATTCATATCTATATCATATCCCCCTTTAAATGTAAAAGAACATTTATAAACAATATTTGGGAACATGGGCGTAGTTTTTTCTCTCCAAACTGCTTCCTGCTGAATGGGGGCACTGTTAATCAGATCATTTAGGGTGTAACCTGTGTGTCAGGTTCATCTCGGTTGGCAGTTGAGTGAAGTAATTTTTTGAGGGTGTTCACAGCAACCTTTCAGGAGGGCGTGGTCTATCATACCATACCGGGATAGATGCAATCCATAGGGTCACATCCTCTGTGGAAACAAAAGAAGACCCTCTCCAAAGCATCATATCCTTAGATCCAAATTTTGAAGTCAAGATACCTTTAGAACATATGTGCAGGTTCAGCTTAGCAGCCCATATAATAAAATGTCTCTTTGTACTTAGCTCCTTCACAGTCAAAAATTTTAAAGAAAACACAATGTACATAATCCAGACTCTCTGTGAATTTTTCATTTTTACGTGGCTTATTTTTCTTTATTTCTCTTAATCTATAACTATCTGTACTTCTGTACTCTGTCTCTTTAAAGACTTTACCCTTTTTCTTTTTAAGACATTAACTTTATTCTTTATATTCTCTTTTTTTCCCCAAGCCTACGTACATTCATCCAACGGTGTCTGAATCTGTTTTACTGTGAATCTGTATTTTTTTTTTTATTATCCAGGAGCATTTCTTAAAATGTTAAGCATTTCTTAAAAACTTAAGTTGCACCATGTATAGGTAATACGGTACTGCCTGTGTCCTGCCCAGTCTAAACCTTAACTGCACGGTTTTAAGGTAATTACGGTAGTTCCTGCCTGAGATCAGCACAGTTCAGCAAGGAGCAGCCGCTCCTGCCTCAGAGTCATTTGGTGCTTTTGAGCTGAGCACAGTTACAGGCAAACAGCAGTTTACATTGGAGCCGCAATCAGCAATTTAATTTTGAGACTGAGTGTGCAGCACAGAAACTCTTTTTATCCAAGTTACAGCCAAATCTGACACGCAGAGCACTGCGCAGTCTGAAAACGCGTCTCTGTATGGCAGCAGGAATCCGCCATGCTCTTCCGCCTGCCTAAGCCTGATTCCGCCATCTGCCCAGGTGTAGGCAGGGAACGCTGAGCCATCGGCAGGTCTCAGAGCAATCTCCTCCGATCCCAAGTGGGAACAGAAACATCCAGTCCCATAAAAGCCTTGAAATGCTTTAAAGCCAGAGTTCACGCTGGCAGCATAGCACCAGGAAGCCGCGCTTTAAAATGACGCAGCTTTTTTTCTCTGCTGCTGTTGCTGAATCAGGAATCTCTCTACAGCATGTCACCAACAAAACAGCAAAAATCTGTGTTAAACTCTCTTTCCCTTATTTTTAAGCCTTCTCAGGTTTTTAAGTGGATTTAGCCCATCACGTCTGGGCGCCATCTGTTGAAATAGGAGCGGCAGGGCTGCATCCCCGGCACCCGGCCGCCCGCATGGCTAGCTTATACCCAGAAATAATTACACGGAAACTGTATTCTTTCAAACACTGCCTGGCCCACAAGTTCCAGTTTCTTATTGGCTAGCTCTTACATATAAGGAGATATGAAAGGGCTAGCCAAAGGGATGAAAAATAGCAAAGCGTACGGAAATACATGTATAAAGACGTCATATGAAACCTGCTACTCTGGGTACCGAGAAATAAATTTTAAAAAGTGGTGCTTAAATTTAAATGAAGTCACTAAAATGGTCTCCAATCTAGTGTGACCACTGTTATTTGAAAAGAGGACATTGCTGCACAAGCAAGAATATAGAGAAAAGCACATGAAGACACTGAGAGAAAATACCTGTGCAGGGCCTAGAGACTTCAGAAGAAACCAGCTGTGCCTGCCCTTCCATCTTCCTTCTACAGTGAAGAACTACATTTCTGTTGCTTAAGCCATGAAACGTGTGGTACTTTGAAACAGCAACTTTAGCAAATACAAGAGCCCAAAAAGCAGAAAACATATCCATTAAACACAGCAAGGGCAGCATGGCACTTCCTCTGCATCTCAAATAAAATCATCTACTAGGTCTTGGAATGCAAGAAACTTAGGAAAGGTTCTCCTCTTATCATTGCACGCTCATTATTATTTACTCTGAATGACTATGGTTTGCAAAATTCATCTTACACAGCAAACTATCACTTAAGGAACAAATGTTTCACATGAACAAAGTGGAAAAAAGAACAATAAGAAATTAAAAATGTGTGAATTGATGTGTTTGTTTAAAAATTATTTAAGCTGAAATATAGAAGACAAATGAAAGGAATGTCCCATCATTCAGTTGCTGTTGAAATAGACTTGGTTTTGTGTTCAATTTCAACAGGAAGATGTGGAGAAAATCAGTTTTTATTGCTCTAACAATAGAGAAGACGGACCTCAAATAAAAAAATTCTTGCTTCAAGCAACAAGCAATTTGTCTAACTAGAGGAGTACCCAGTCCTAAATATGTTCAAAGAGAATGTATTTAATGCAGGGATCAACAAAGGCCTTGAAGTATCCTTAGCAAAAATAAAGCAATTATTTGTTTCGGTCAAGAAAATTCTAATTAAAGCTTCTTAAGAGATAAACAGGTATTCCTGTAAAATGGCTGCTGAAAGTGTGAGAAAGGGGTGTTTCTGTGATATAATGTCTACTTAAAACATGAATACTTATAACAAAGTAAAGGAGCCGGAAACTAATTACCACCAAATCAATTTTCTCATATACATCTCAGTATTTGATCCAGGGCAGAGAGCAGATATTTCATCTCTCTAATGGCACATACATATTATTAGAATTCAAACGAATCCTTCCATATTCATTCCAAAGACAAGATATCTCTTTTGGATGTAG